CCTGCCACCCAAATTCAAAATCCAAATGCCAAAATCCCAAATGCCAAAATCCCAAATCCCAAATCTCAAATTATGATCAGTATTTTTTGTCGAAATCCCAAATCCCAAATCCCAAATACTAGTAATTTGGGATTTGGGCAACACGTATACTCTTATACCTATCAGGTATCTAATAAATGTGGTATTTATAAATTTTTGACCAGTGATAGTAAATTAACACCTTTTACTGAAGGAATAATAATATTTAATTATGTTATAAGAACAAATAATTTGTTCATTTATAAAAATGGACTGGTACCTTCAATTAATAAAAAGATCAACTGTTGTGTATTTTAAAATACAGTATATTAAATTTCTTAAAGAATTGATATAAGGATAAAAAAAAACAAGTGAAGTTCTGTCCTTAATATTATCTTATATTACTTATAAATTATCTCAAAATTGTGAAGGCTAATTACAAATTGTCTTAAAATCATGAAAGCCAATTATAAATTATCAAAAAATTACTATAACAAATTCTTTCAAATTGATTATAATATGTTCAAATCAAATAAAATTGACTTGGTTAATTTAAAAATTGGAAAATTAATTTATAAAAAAAAAGACAAATTTGATTTTTAGATGATTTGTATTAAAAATTATTGAAAATCAAATGGCCAAATTGTATTAAAATTATGAAAAATTGGAATTGAATCATATGAAAAATTGATGTAATTAAAATTTCAAGAATTGAGTCAAAGGCTTTTCACTTTTGACGAAATGTATAATTTCAATAGTTAGTAAACAATCTTTAGTAATAGGATTATTGACTTACTTATAATAAACTTACATTTATATTTAAAATTTGTGATTTCTTTATTAATTTATATTCTTTGAATATAAATTCTTGCTTAATAAACCTTTGATACCAATCTGTAAATTGGTATTAAACACATTTCAGTTTTAGGAGGTTTAGGAGTTTAGGAGGTTTAGGATAGTTTAGAAGATTTGGACAAAGGGTTTAAGACCACAATATAATTCCAAAAGGTTTTGGGATTTAGTCCCATCCTTTATATCCAGATGATTCAGATTTATTATCCAGAGATCCAAATTGACTTTTAGAAATTGGATCGGACCACTACTTTATGTGTAGCGTAGTACGATGATCTCGCATTTTTATTCTTATAAACGAAACTCTCATCTTAGATTATCAGATTATTATTCAAAGCTTTTTAACAATCATGCCTTCCACTTTTCATACCTGCGAACGAGAAAAGTTATTTCTTCACCCAAGTCCCAAAAGATTCGGAGTTCCGGAATTACAAAAACTTGTTAAGCCATTCATTGATTCTTTCAATTCCTTATTAGAACCTCCTACCAAAGGAATATTACATTACGCTATTGATGACATTGGAGTAATAGAAATATCCGATGCTCCTTTTATTAGTCCTACAAAAGGAAATATTTTAAAAGGTATTTTATTTAAATTATTTTTTTTTTAATTTTTATTTTTTAAAAAAATTGACAATTTTTATTTATTTATTTATTTATTTTTTTTAAAAAAAGTTTGGGTTGAAGATATATTAATTGGCAAGCCTCTGCTGTCTGAAAATGTTCGTGCAGCAAAATCATTTCAAATATTCCCTTCGGAGGTACGATTGTTTGATAATTAATTAGTAATCAATGAGATTTTTTTTTTTTGGAATATTAACAAGTCTAAATTGAAAATCATATTAGTGTCGAGAGAGATTTAAAACATATGCTGGAAAAATGAGTATAAAATTTTGCTGGCAAGTAAATAATGGCAAGGTGAATATAGAAAACAAGAATGTGGGGATGTGTCCAATTATGATAAAAGTATGTTACTATTATTATTTTTGATAATACTGATGTTATTTGAATTATCTCTAGATCTTTTCTTTAAGAAATGTAACAATTTTTTTTCGTGATTTTAGTCCAATCGTTGTAATTTACAATCTTTCTATTCAAAACAATTGATTGAACATCATGAAGAATCAGAAGAAATGGGAGGATATTTCATTATTAATGGAATCGAGAAGATCATTCGTCATTTAATAGTACAGAGACGAAATTTTGTAATGGCACTTGTCAGACCATCTTTTGCAAATCGAGGGAAATCATATACCGAATATGGTGTGTCAATTCGTTGTGCTAGACTCGATCAGACAACTATGACAAATACTTTGCATTATTTGAAAGATGGAAATTGTATGCTAAGATTTGTTTGGCGTAAACAAGAATATTTTGTTCCTGTGATATTATTTCTAAAGGTAAATCATTAGTTAATATTTTACTACGTTCGTTTTTAGATATGAAGAATTCTTGACTTTTAACATTTCATTTCATATTTTTTTTTACAACACTAGTCTTTGGTTGAAACAAATGACAAGGGAATTTTTGAAATGTTGATGTTAGGTGATTTTGAAAATACATTTTTTTCGGATCGAGTGGAACTCATGCTTCAGGAATTTAAATCGTATAATATACAATCTAGAGAACAATGCTTATCTCTATTGGGCGAAAAATTTCGTATCATCTTTAGTCTTCCATCTCATTATTCTAATCAACAGGTTGGAGAATATATACTTAAAAAAGTTTTATTAGTTCATCTTAATAATAATCAAGATAAATTTAATCTTTTAATGTAAACAAATTATTTTTTAATATTATTTAATGGATTGGATGGATGGATGGTTAGTGATATAAATTTGTAATATGACATGACTAATTATTCGTTAATTTATTATTCTAAAAAGTTACATGATTCGAAAATTATATTCACTCGTTGCTGGAGATTGTTGTCCGGACAATCCGGATTCCACTCAAAATCAGGAAATCCTTTTGAGTGGTAATCTTTATGGTATGATCGTCAAAGAAAAGCTTATGGATTACTTGAATGGTATTCGGGCTTTAGTTATTGCAGATGTAAATTCAAAAAAAAATGTTGATTTTAATAACAGTAAGTAAAATTTTTATTTTTATTTTATTATTATCACTTTACTAATTAATTTGATTAATTTTAAATTTAGAAAAATATCTTTCGACCATATTTAATAAACCGTCATCAGATATTGGTAGAAAGTTGGCATATTTTCTGGCAACAGGAAATCTAGTTTCAAATACTGGATTGGATTTGATGCAGGTAAAATTAATTATAAATAAGATAGATTTTTTTTTTTTGTATATATTCCATTTAATATTCACACTTTATTAGACTTCAGGATATACTATTGTAGCAGAAAAAATTAATTTCTTTCGATTCATTTCTCATTTTCGTTGTGTTCATCGAGGTTCATTTTTTGCTGAATTAAAAACAACAACAGTACGAAAATTATTGCCAGAATCTTGGGGTATAAAAAATTACATTTATAGACTTTTAAAATTTCAAATATTTAATAAATAATATTTGATTATTACTTTTGTTTTATTATTAGGCTTCATATGTCCAGTGCATACTCCGGACGGAACACCTTGTGGATTATTAAATCATCTCTCATATTCGTGTCGGATTATTACATCAAAACTTAATGCTGATAGAATTCCAATGTTTCTATCGGAATTTGGAATGACAATTAGACCATTAATAAGTGGTCATCGAACCGAGAAGAATCAAATGTGTGTTCAATTAGATGGGAAAATAGTGGGTTGGTGTTCTCATAAAAATGCAAAACCAATTACTGATAAGCTACGATTAATAAAAATCGAAGAAAAGGTATTATCAAAATTTTTAAAAATATTTAATAATATATATATGTATATATATTTTATAATATTAATTTGAAATCGACTAAATATTTTTTAATTCAATTAGATACCAATTGATATTGAAATTGGTTATGTTCCTCCATCAAATGGAGGTCAATACCCTGGAATTTACATTTTTTCAACTTCCGCGCGTATGATGAGACCTGTCAAATATCTAGCTAATGGAAAGACTGATATGGTTGGTTCCTTTGAACAGGTTTATATGAACATTGCATGTTTGCCAGAAGATATTGTTGAAGGTGTGACAACTCATCAAGAGTATTCTCCGACCAACATTTTAAGCATCCTTGCGAATTTGACACCATTCTCTGATTACAATCAAAGTCCAAGAAATATGTATCAATGTCAAGTAAGAATTTGAAGTTGCTTTATGAATTCTCAACATTTACTATATTTTTTTCCAATATATATTTAGTTTATATTTAATCTTTCTTTTTAATATTAGATGGCCAAACAAACTATGGGAACACCGTCGACAGCATTAATGTATAGAACGGATAATAAATTATATCATTTACAAACTGGTCAAACTCCCATAGTGAGACCAGAACTTCATAATACTCTTGGTTTAGATGGATTTCCTAATGGTACCAATGCCATCGTGGCCGTAATTTCATATACAGGTATGTCAATTTTTTTTTTTTTTTTGGTAAAATTTGTGGAATTTAAATCGCATGTTTATATTTGCTTGATCAATTAAAAATGATTGGTTGAATTCATAGGTTATGATATGGAGGATGCTCTCATTATAAATAAAGCATCTCATGAAAGAGGATTTGGATATGGCACCATTTATAAATCAGAAATAATAGATCTTGGGGAATTTCGCGCATCTGGAGATCCTATTAACCATCAGTTTGGTCTTGAAGATGATGCTCCACCTTCTTGGCGTGAAAAACTTGACAATGATGGTTTACCGTTCATAGGTGTTAGGCTAACATCGGGGGATCCTCTATGTGCATATGTTGATAGAATTAAAGGAGTTACGAAAATAAAAATATATGGTGGATCAGAAGATGCCTACGTTGATCAGGTTCGATTACTTGGTGATGATTTAGGAAAGGATGAGGTTCAAAAGGTACATATTAAACTAAGAATTCCTAGACCACCAGTAATAGGTGACAAATTTTCTTCAAGGCATGGACAAAAAGGAGTATTATCTCGTTTATGGCCACAAGTAGATTTACCATTTACAGAAAGTGGAATGCAACCTGATATTATTATAAATCCACACGCGTTTCCTTCACGTATGACCATTGGTATGTTTGTAGAAAGTATGGCAGGAAAATGTGGAGCATTATTTGGAGTCGCACAAGATTGTACACCGTTTAAGTATAATGAAGAATCTACAGCAATTGATTATTTTGGGGAACAACTTTTACGTTCTGGATTCAATTATCATGGAAATGAACCAATGTATAGTGGAACCACTGGTGAGGAATTTCAAGCGGATATTTATATTGGAGTTGTATATTATCAACGTCTTCGTCATATGGTTTCAGATAAATGGCAAGTCCGATCAACTGGGCCTGTACATAATTTAACCATGCAACCTATTGGAGGTCGTAAAAGGAACGGTGGAATTAGATTTGGTGAAATGGAACGAGATTCTTTGTTAGCTCATGGAATGAGCTTTTGTCTCCAAGATCGATTGATGAATTGTTCCGACTTTTCACAGGTATAAAATATTTATATTAAATGTTATTCATTACGTATTAATTAATTAATTAATAAATTAATAAATTAATAAATTTAAATTTAAAAATTTTTTTTTTATTCAGTGTCATCTATGCCGCGAGTGTGGATCTATTTTTACATCATTATCATTAAAAACACATCATAAAATTGATTCCAATCGAACATACAAGAAACATCATATTCAATGTGATATTTGTAATACTGCGAAATGGATCACTTTAATCAAAATCCCCTTTGCATTTAAATATCTTGCAACAGAACTTGCAAGTATGGGAATAAAAATAATATTAGATACCGAGACTAAATAAATTTATTTAAATTTTAAATTATCTTTATATCGACTTAATTATCTTATATTATAAAAAAAGTAAATTTATATTAAAGAAGAAAATAACAATAATTTTTGTTGTATTAGTAAAAAATTTTGAAAATAATAAAAAAAAATAATAGTCACATTATCTTTAATATCTTATAACTTTAATTAACTATATTAACTATATTCTTTTCTTTAGTGGAAGAGAGTCACATGGTGAACTAAGCAAATACTAAAAATTAAATTTATCTTCCACCCCCTGAATAAAAGAATAAAAGAATAAAAGAATAAAGATTCACATATTATTATCGAAATGAGTGATTAAATGTGATAGCGACTAAGAAAAATGTTTTTAGAGAAAACTTTTATCACAAATTTTTTAAAAACCGATGTAAAAGTGAAACGCTGCATGTTTACATGAACTTTTTATCAAAAAAAGCAAATACAATGAAATTCACATTTTCATCTATATACATATTTTATGAAATCCTGGATAATATTAATATCCTTTGGTTCGTGATATTGTTTCTTTCCATGAGACGTTGTATGCTTCACTTGAACCAAAAATGATTATTATATAATTGTGATTTCAGCTAACCATAAATAAATAAATGAATGAATGGGTAAAAACATAATCGGAAGAAAAATTTGGAACGGGAACTTTTATAAAAAAAAACAAGGAAGAAATTTATTTTTTATTTTATTTACAATTGAATTTTTTAATTGAACGGATTACTTCTAAATTTAGGTGAAAATCAAAGAATGCAAAAGAACAATAGTTAATTATATCGATTCTTTATTTACTGACATCTCTGTGTTTTTCACTCTTTTTGAAATTCATATTAATAACTCAATTTATTTATTTATTTTGGATTATCAATTGAGTTAATTGGAAAAATAAGGAGTGATTATTTTGAAAGAGAAGAGTGACGTCTGAAAAAATCGATTGTTAAATTGATTGTTTAATTGTTTTAGGGAAATTATAATGAAATATCGTCATGAGATGAAGGTGCATCTATTGTTTTAAAGGTTTTAAAAAAAAAAAATTTTTTTCTTATCAATTTAAAAAATACCATTTTTAATTATACAACAAAAACAGAAACAATATCAAATAAAAAACAATTGAGGAATCACAAATTGTAGATCGGAATGACTTTCTTTAGAAAATATGAAATAATACGTTGCAAATATGTTTGTGGCGGTGCATGTAAAATAATTCTCAAAAAGAATTTACAATAGAAAAAGAAAGAAAAAACTGAGGCTTGCTTTTTGTTTTCCCAAATAATGAATTAATTAATTATTAATTGTTATTAACAAAAAAAAAAAAAAATTATTTTTTTCTATGAAAAAAAAATAAGAACCGCCAATACCATCATGACCACTTAAACTGCTTACTGCAAGCATGGATTCCATGAGACACTGATAAAAATATTGCTTTAAGAAATATTTCATCAAATAATAAAAAAAAGATAATAGCACGTTTGATGTAAAAACTGCATGTAAAAAGTAAGGTGTCAGATGATCGACAAATTATCAATTGACATTGTTCTTTTCTTGGTTATCCGATGATCAGCTTTTTTTTTCTTTATTTCCTCATTTAGATTATTTATTTTTTAATTTCTCACCCCATTATCACCTATTATCATCTATTATATCATCATCCATTATCATCCATTATCATGAAAAAAAAAATCTATAAATATCTTTCCCAGTAAAGCGAATCATTGTCCTTGATTTAGGAAGGATCAACTTCCACATGTGAATATGTAAATCTGGTAAAGAAGGCATAAAAAAAATAATAATAATAAAAAAAAGCCACGCGATAAACTCATGAATAATATATGCACAATGGACACTCGGAAAATGTGGAAATTGCCGTATGGATTTCTTGGAAAAAAATTTTTCCTAAATAACTTATTTTTTTACTAAATATTTATTATTTACTACGCACAAAAAAAAACAATTAAAAATTAATTAAAATTTAATTAAAATTTAATTATCATCATCATCATTATTTCATCGGAAAAAAAAAAATTTTTTAGTAGTAGCAGTTCCGAGCTATCGAACTTTTTTAATAATATTAATGTATATTATTAATTTTAATTAAATGATAATGTTTTAACCATGAACAATGACAATTCTATTACAACAATAAATAATGATGCTTGAATTATCTAATAATTCTAATCATTCTCATTATCATAGATTAACTATCGTTATTATTATCACAGTTATAATTATTATTAGTTCGTATTGGATATTATTATTGTTTATTGTTGTTTATTTTTGTTATTGTTCTCATTATTGTTATCATTATCGTTTATTAGATCATGATGATTTCACACGCCAACTTTAAAATTTTTAATTTACTTTTTTTTTTTTAAAAAAAAAAAAATGATATCGATTTCATTATTCCTAAGAAAGTAAGTTTTCTTTGAATTAAAGTAATTAATACTAATGAAATCGACAATCAAAAATAGCAGGGATTCCTTGGATGATCTTTGTGATACAACGTTTTGATTGTAATTTTCTTATGATGACATTGTGAAAATTAAAAAAAAAAAAATTTTCAAATGAAAAATTAAAATTAATTTAACAGGCAGATGATAATGAAATTTTTAAATTTTAAATTAAAAAATAAATAAAAAAATAAAATGAAATAAAAATAAAATGAAATGAATAAGATTAGATAAGAATATTCGGGCAGGATACTTTTAGAAATTCTCGAATGCTTGTTGAAAAACTATTCGTAAAGTGAAGGCATATTATATGCACCATACATTATGTTATCGTAATCCATATGCACGTGATCATATTGATTTGACCAATTAACTCATTATCATTATCTTTTCCTTTTAGTTATTCTATCGGCATCTTTTTACTTGAAAAGATAAAATAATAATAAATGTTTAATGTCACAAATCAAATAAAGTTTTAAAAATAAAGATTACCAATAAAAATATCAAACAGACATTAAAAATGGAAGGTTATAAAAATTTTTACAGAAACGAAAAAAATTTAACCAACACGTACGATAATGTTTCATGAATATTAATCATAGAAAGAAATGCAGGAGGATTAGGATGTTTTGTAAATAAAAATGTATAGAAAGTAAAAACAATTCTTTCATATTTTTTTTTATTTTATTTATTTTTCTTAATTTAATTAAAAATATTAAAAATTAAAAATATAAAAATTAAAAATATTAAAAATTAAAAATAATAAAAATTAAAAATTCGGAATATCCATATCAATTTTAATCATTGTTATTTTTATTATAAAGTAGGATAAAGTGAGTAAATAAAATAAATAAGAATTAAATTTAAACGAAAATAAATTAATAATAATAAAATAATAATAAAAAAGAAGAATAATAATTTAATAAAAGAATAATAAAAAAAAAAGAATAAGAATAATAAAAAATAATAATAATAAAAATTATAAACTACTACAAATTATAAACTATTACAAATTATAAACTACTACAAATTATAACTGCAAATAATACAAAATAATCATAATTAAAAATCACGAAAACTTTAATGCATTCTCGGGGAAAAAAGGTAAATAAATTATTTATGTAAAGTCTTAATTGCATGAAAATATTTTGACATTCGGGGTGTAAAAAGATGTAAAAGATGAAACAAATCTCTAAAGAGAATCCTGGTAAAATCTTATCATCGATTTTGTATTATTATTGTACATTATTATTATTACCTTCTTTAATTAAATTATTCTTTTTAAGATTAAAATGTTTAATTATATTTATTTATTATTATTATTATTTATGATGTTTACCGAAAAACAACAACGCGCATCTCCAATAATTTACAAATATTACAAATACAAAATATTAGGAGTGCATGTTAGAGTTTCAAATAAGTTAAATGTTATTATTATTATTATTATTATTATTATTATTTATTATTATTATTATATTATTATTTGTTTTTATAATAACATAACAATATAGTATCAATATAGTTAATAGCCATTCTGATACACGAACCTAATTCTAATTTTGGACAAAGCAAACATTTTTTTTTTGTATATTCGAAAAAAGATTATTAAAATTCTTCTATTCATTTCAAATAAAGAAATTTACTTTTAGCAAATTGTTGTAGCTCTTTTAGAATGTAATTGCTTAAATTGAAATGATATTAAAAATTATTAAATTATTAATTAAATTTAATTATTATTGTATAATCTAATTCTAGTTAAAACAAATTACTATTATTATTATTTTTTTTTTTTGATGATTCTGATACAGTTTTAGATTTTTAATTGTATCAATAATTTTGTAAATCTAAAAAAAAATAAATAAATAAATAAACAATTGCATAATAATTTAATTAACTTTTTACTAACTCTTGCTTGGCATATGTATGTCCATTCATCCCAATAAAGGAACATCAATAAAGGTACATCAATGAAGGATATTTTTTTTTTTTTTTAAAATAATACAATGTTAAAAGTTTATAATGTTTCAAAAGCCAAAGATAAAGTTTTAAGATTATTTATTTTTGAATATATATATCTATTATATGTAAAATAAAGTATATATATATATATATATATATATATAACATATATAACATATTAATACTTTTATCCATAAATGTATGCTATAATAGATATTCACATGCGCTCAATATATATGTGAAATTATAAGTTAAATTATATAATAATAATAATATGTTTCGTAAAAAACATTTTCCCGGAATTTTTTTCATCACATTTTGAAATAATGATAATAATAATAATAAATATTTTAAAATGGATGTTTTATTTTGTATTTAAATCTTAATAATAATAATAATAATAATTAATAAATCTTTTTTAATAAATCTTTTTAATAAATCACTTGAAAATGAACTTTATTCGCAAAAGGAATGATTCGTTTATTATGAATACTTAATCTCATTAATATGTCATTAATACGTTCAATAATATGTTCTCGCATAAGATATTCATAATTTATTATTATTAACTATGAGAAACATAATGAACATTATGAATATCCTGTATTATGAATATCTTGAATATCCTGATGTCAATATTAAAAAAAAAAGATTATTATAAAAATTTTTTTTGTTTACATAAACAACAACAAAAACATTCCTGTTTATATTATATTATATGTTTATTATTTTATTTATTTTAATATCTGATATTGTTCTCTTTTGCACATCAATCAAACCAAAAAGAAAAAAATTTCCTTTAGACTCAAAAAAAAAGACAAAAAAAAAATCAAGAAAAAAAAAAAAACCAGAAAAAAAAAAAAAATAAGGTTGGTCTCTTTATTGTAAATACGCATTGTTCTCAAAAAAAAAAAAAGTCCCAATTGAATCAATCATAATAATCAAAGATCTTTATTATTATTATTTTTTCATGGGACCTTTATTATTATTATTATTTTTTTTTTTTTGGCAAAATTTCAAAAAATCTTTTATCGATTTCGTTATCTTTATTCAAATTATATGCAAAAGAAAAAAGAAACAAACATAATCATATTGTTCGATTCCAAATGAATAAATATTTTTTAACCTGTTGAAACAACAATAAATCACGGACCTTTAATTTGATCTCTTTAAAGAATAAACCTTTTTCATTTTAATCGTTCAGAATAGAGCAGAATAGAAATAGAGGCAGAGAGATGACAGAATGCAATTAAACACAAATAGAGAATATGACAGAGAGATGATAGAATGCAATTAAACACAAGTTACAAGTGACAATGACAATTGATAATTGATAATAATAATAATCTGTTTTTTAAAACGTTTTTTTTTTTTATTAGTTAATAAAAAAAAGCCATTTTTTAAATGTTGTATTATAATAATAATAATCCTTTTTTTTTTCCAATAATTATTATGACTAATAAAAAGACTTATATAATATAATTATTATTAAAGAGAAGTTTTTGTCCATATAGAAAAAAATTGTGTGATTTGGTTATGATGATGCTATAAGAAAAAAAGAAAATAAAAAGAATAAAAATGGTGAAAAAAAACTACTTACAAAAAAAATATAAAAAAATAAATGAAATGAAATGAAAATCAAAGAAAAAAAAAAAAGCTGTACAAAATGACAAAATGAATAAAGAGAGAAGAACGTAAAGCAAGAAAATATTTAAAATGTATAATAATAATAATGTGAAATATGTAAATGAATAATTGGTTTTTCGAAAACAAATTATCATTAATTGAAAAAATAATCTTTGCTTGTTGTAACATATATATATATATATAATATATTTGCATGTTGTTTGGGTTTTTTTACTAACAAATTTTTTTCGAATTATTAAAATTATAAAATGTTTGGAATTGAATTAATTATTGAATTTGTCATTTGGAATTGTTGTTGTTGTTGTTTGTCGCGATTGAAAAAAAAGAATATGAATATGTCAAAGTGATGGAATAATATAATGTCGATTAAAATGAAGAAAAAATCAGAAATGAAAAAAAAATTTTTACAAAAAGAAAAATAAAAAGAAAACGACAAGATACACATTTTCTCAATGGTATTTGAAAATAAACTACGTTCGATATTAATATGTACTATTAACTATTATTATTATTATTATTTGTTGTTGTTGATGATGTTGTTGTTATCCCATTTTTTTGTTTTTTTTTTTTTTTTTTTTTTTTTTTGTAATATACAAAAGTGTATATTTTTGTGTGCGTGAATGTGGACAAATTTCTCTTTAATCACAAATTACCAAAGAGAATGAGAATGAGAATTAGGGAAAAAAACAAAAGAAGAAAAAAAAAAGATGCGAGAAGAAAATAATTGAATTTTTTTGTATTTTTTTTTTTTTTTTTTTACGATTTCTGTACAATTATTAAAAAAAAATATCCATGAAAAAAAATTATTGAACATTTTTAAATCATTACGATATCAAAATTCATAAAGGTCGAGGAAGGGAAACTATTTCATGTTTGATGATGAAGGTAATGATGGAAAATGATGACTATATTGTCGAAACGATGGTGATGATGATGATGATGATGATGAAGATGATAATGATGGTGATAAACTATTATTATTATTGTTGTTGTTATAATAATAATAATGATTATTGTTGTTATTATTATTATTATTATTATTATTATCATCATTTAATAAAAAGCTAACCGACATTTTTTCTGATGAACCATCTCCATTATTCACTACACCATTTACTACACCATTTACACCTTCCGTTGATTTCTTCCTTGGTTTGGTCTTCGTCGGCCGTCTCGGACAATAAACGTAATTCGGATATAATTTCATATGTTGTTCTTTTTCTGCTCGTGCCTTTTCCGCATAAAGTTGTTTGATGTTTTGAGGTTCATGAGCCCATTTATCAGCTGCTGACTTAGAGATACGAGACAATTCCGATAAAAGGATGTTAGGATTTTGTTCTTTAATTTTCTTTTGATATTCCCTTCGATATATCATGAATGAATTTAATGGCCGGGGAGGGGTATCCCGATTTCTGCGACGTTTGGGAACACGCGAAGTTAGAGTCATTGATGATGTTGGTGTTTTTGATGTTGTTGTTTTGGTTGTTGTTGCTGCTGTTACTGTTGCTGTTGTTGTTGTTGTTGTTGATTGAAGATTATTATAATTGTTGTTATTATAATTGTTGTTGTTGTTATTATAATGGTAGTTATTATTGTTATTATTATTATTATTATTAGGATTAGGATTTAAGTAATGATGATGATTACGAGAGAAAGAATGATTAATAAGATGGTCTTGAGAAATTGTCGTCGTTGTATTGTAAAGCTGATATTCGTTGAGTTTGTTAAATAAAACGCAAGGTTTAGTCATTAAGTAAAAAAAGGAAAATTTATAAAGTTTTATTTTTGGATAAAAAAAAAATAAAAAAAAATAGGAGAGATGATGCTTTTATAGAAAAAATTTTTTTTGTGGAAGTCTGTTGATTTAAAGTATTATAATAAAACGTCACTTTTATTTTATGAATGGTTACGGAGACTTTCGAAGATCTATTTATATAATGAAAAGAAGGGGATAGTCTTAAAAGGTTAAAATGGTTTTTTTTTATTATTATTATTATTATTGTATTATAAAATTATATTTTAATATAATATTATTTATACCATTTATAATAAGGGGGGTTTTTTTTTAATAATGGAATTGTTTAGGTGAAGCGGAGTAACTACAAATTTCACAACAAAAATTGAGAATGAGAAAATTGTGTATAAATTGTTTGTTGTATAATAAGTATAATAAGTTTATAGTGTGTAAGCAAAATAGTAGTGTAAATTGTTGTGGATCAAAATTAATTTTTTATATTTTAATTTAATTATTCAATAAATTATTCAAAAAAAAAAATGAACTGACAAATAATTTTTAAAAGCAAAGGAAGTGAGGTTTTTTAGTTCTCCCTTTTTATAATAAAAAAAAAAAAAATTTGGTAACAATGAAATTTATGCTGATAAAGCTTTAATATATTGTTTTTTAATTTAGTTTATTTTATATATATATATATATATATTTTGGCGGGTATAATAAAAAAATTAATATTTAAATAAGATAAATAAGGTACCGATTGTAATGTTGGTTATAATAGGTTATAATAGATAATTATAGACTATAATAGACCATAATAACTATAATAGCTTGTTGTAGATTATAGTAAGTTATAATAGGATTTCAATCGACTTTGAAATAGCAAATAATACAAATAATAGAATTTTTAATTTATATTATTATAATTTTATATTAGGAGTATTATAAAAAGGTGACTGTGATGTAATTAAATAATAATGGGAAAATCTATCTTTTTGCAGGGGTTTCATACAAAATCAGATAAATTATTTTGTTATTCTTTTTTAATCATCATCAATTTGAAGTACAATATAAAATATTATTGTTTGAATATATTATGAATATATTGTGTATAGAAATTGTGTAGTGTGTGGCTGGAGACGTCAAGATTCCGCAACAAAAAATGATTAATAATTTATTTTTAATAATTTTTAATTTTAATGGTAATATATATATATTTTTTTTTAAAACTTTGATGACGAAAATATTGTCAAAAAAAGAAATAATTAGATAATATTTTATTTTATTTATTTATTTTTATCGTTACGGAAAGGTTATAAATAATATAAATAATAAAAATTATAAAAAATTAGATTTTTGGTAATTTGCTTTGCTAATAATTATGTTTGATAATAATAATGAGGATAATATTCTATTGTTATTCTTGTTCTTGTTATTCTTGTTATTCTTGTTATTCATGTTTATTCACCAGATTGAAAACGCACTCTTTATATAATTTTTGGCGAGATGATAAATGGGAAATAAATGAATATATGAATATGTAATAAAAATATATATGATTGGATAATAATAATAATAAATAATAAGAGGAAATTGATGCGTGCGAGATTGAGTGAGTGAATGAGTAAATTAATGAGTGAATAAATGAAGTGAAGTTTGAAGTGAGTGAGTGAGTGAGATAGAGAATAATAATAATGTAAAATAAGAAGAGAGATGTTGAATATTTACTTCACATTGTCTTTATCGAAAACAATGAAAATCATGTCGTCTTTATTTATAAATAATAAATAAACGTTAAAATTAATATATTGTTGTGATATATTTACCGAATATGCATAAAAAATAAATTAAAAAAATTTTATAATTTTTATTTTTTATTTTTAATTTTTAATTGAATTTTATTGTAAAAATATGGAAATTATAGAAAGTATTAGGAAAAGTATAATGAGTGTAATGATAGTTTTTTGTGTGATATATATAAGTATAATTAAAAAATTTAGTTAATTAAAAATGTTAATTAATATAAAATAATATGTTATATCAAAATTATAGTACATGATTGCATATTATGGCATATTATAGAATATACTCTAAAAGGTAATAAAGTATTTTTTGAACAATCTCTATAATGCTATGTATCGACAACAACAAAAAAAAACAATTGGTAATACATAATAACAATTGTTATTTTCTTGTGTCTTCACTTCTCAACGTATTTTACATACTTGCATATATTCAATTTTAATCATATTTTTTTTTAATCAATTTAATCATTTAATTTAATTATATTTGAATTAATTAATTATAACATATCTAGATCTTACAATTTCTAATAATTGTATTAATTTTAATTGTATTTAAATAAATTGTTGTTAATAAATTTTTAATAAATGTTAATAATTATTAATAATTGTTAATAATTGTAATAATTGTAATAATTGTAATAATTGTAGTTTTTAAACTATGTTGGCCCGTGAACCATGAACATTTATTAGGACCGTGAAATAAAGAATAATGATATTATTGTTATTGTTATGATTATTAAATGCAGTGTGATATATTAAGAATGTACATAATAATGAATGAATGTGATGTTAAGGTTTTTGTGGAGAACAAGGATTTTTTTTTCCACATTCAATAATTAAAGGTGACTAATATTTATTATATATAAAAGTATTATTATAGAAAAATATTATTATGAAAAATATTATAAGATATATTGTAAAATGAATAATGGGCAAGAAAGAAAAAAAAAAAGTATTCAATTTAATTAATTCTTTAATCGATTAATTGATTGATTCATTGGAATGATTGGAATGATTGGAAATCAGGAATCCAAAAAAAAAAAAATCAGAAAAGAGAAATTAGAAAAGAGAGATGGCTTATTTTTAATAATTTCCATATTCAAAAAATTTTGAAAATTTATTACTTCATTTGAACGACTGATTGATTAACTATAAATATTTCATCATCTTTTTTTTTTTTTTTTATCCATCAACTTCCATTATCTTCCGAGTTCCTCATCCTCCCCCTCCCTCATGTTATGTCATCTTTCACCTCATGTCATAATCATCTCTTCACCATCTAAAAATGAAATAAACAAATAACCTCCTTCATCTACAATTATCTACGTTTGGTAATTTATTATAACAAGGAGTTATCAAAAACCTGAATTAATCCTGAACTAACCCTGAATTTAAATAAATCATCTTTGTAAGTATTCCTTTACTGAATTCATTTCATTTCATTAATTTATTATTCATTTTATTTTTTATTTTTATTTTATTTTAATATTATCATTCATCACTATTTTATCAATCGTTTATTAAAATTCATTATTCGTTACTACTCCTCTTTATTTATTACCTGTTATTATTATTGATTTTTTCATCAATCATCATTATTACTTTTTTATCATCATCTTCATCATTATTTTTATCATTATTATTATTTTGGCAAGAAATTGGATTATTTTTTTCATTACCCCTTTGTGTTTGTCAAATAAATAAATAAATAAATAATCAAACTATAATTATGTTAGTAATTATGTCAGTAAATAATAAATCAAAATAATAATAATAATTAATTTGTCAGTAATTTGGTAATTAATTGTAATTTTTTTTTTTAATTAAATTAATTTATTCACATTAATTTCCTTTTAATTAAAAATCATTACATACCTTTTTTTTTATTTTTTAATGTTCAAATTGAATTAAAACTCAATTTTCGATTTTCAGGTGATTTTCAAAGAGAAAGAATAAAAAAAAGTGATAAATTAAAAAAAAATAAAATAAAAAATAACGAGTTCAATCGTTCCAGTCACATGATGATTATATTATGAAATCCAAAAAAAAAAAAGACATTATCATTATTTTTATTTTTAAAATTATTAATAAAATTATTTAAAAAAAGACGAATGAAACTAAAATAAGCAAGTTTGTGAAATTGAATTTGGTATAATTAGTTATGGATGGAGGGAGGACATAGCCAAGAAATAATAGTAAATGTGGGGGGGAAATGGTGGTCTTCTAATATTCTTTTTATTCAAACATTCCTTCTTCCATGCTTCTCTGTTTATTATTATTATTAATTATTATTATTTTTTTTTTAGAAAAAAAGACGAATAACAAACCTAATAGGTAAATACACCTAATAATAATAAAATAATAATAAAATAACTAGTTAATTACAAGATTATAACATAATCATAATAATAACAAATAAATAATCCATAACGCATAACGTACGCGCGGACATTTCACGTTTTATATCTTTGAATATCTTTTTTGATTAATTAATTAATTAATTCAATTTTATCAGTTTGATGAATTTGGTGATTTTTACGTGCATTGTTGTTTTTTTTTGACTTGACCACTTTGATCAAGAGAAAAGAGAAATAATAATAATAATAATAATATAGATATATGCAGTATATGTGTGAAATATGTGTGTAATTATTATATAATTAATAATAATGATGTATAATAATGTATGCGTTTTATTTAGAAAAAAAAAAGTCTGGTGACGAATGATTCTTACATCGCATAATTTCGAATAACTTTTAATCATTTTAAGATTTTTGATCATTGATAAGTTTTTTAATACATCAATCCACATTTCATTTCATTGTATATATATGTAAA